CCAACGGCCTCCCCTTCCGTTAATATTGGTGCCGGTGTGGTTTCCCTGCGGAGCCTGCTCCTCGATGCTATGGAGAAAATATTGTTCCTGACTGATGAGGTGTCCACCCTAAAGGCGCATTTACGCCAGGCGATGGAGGCACTCGTGCCACGCGACTAGATCGCATCGCAAAAACAATTTCACGGGCACACTGGCGTGCGCAATGAGCCGGTCCAACGCCTTCGTTGACGAATCGCTTCTCGAAAGCTTTCGCTGCGAACGTCGTTGACTGGCTCAGCCGCTCCGCGACTAGATCGCATTGCAAAAAGTTGGGTCAGTATGCAACTGCTCAAATCGCGTCGCTTTTTTTCCGCGATGCTCGCTTTTCCGATGAAGGTTGTCGCGCGACTATATCGCATCGCCGGAGTAAACTCTCCTTAAAAGATAAAAACTCATGCCACCGCCACTAAAAAAAAAAAAAACGACGCCGAGCTTCAAGAAGGTGTCATGGCCATATTGCGGTCTGAAGTCCGGAGTCTGCGTGACGCGCTCGGTCAGCGACGACAGCCGGACGTGCCCGATCACCGACGGCAGCCTGTGGATAGGACTGCGGTTCGTCCTTTGGGAAAATCCACTTATGCTTTCGCTCTGCACAGCTCTCCGCCCAAGCTTCTCCTAGATGGTATTGCCCCATCTCTCCATTCAGATAGCTAGAATGATGCTTGCAAAATACGCGTGCCTTTCAGTGGCATTAATTCTGCACGACCAAAGTCTCGGACCACAGCGCTTACCGGGGCGTTCGAAACCTGCAAGCTGATCGTTGTCCCTCCATCAACTCAACACCAAACCCTGTTCGTCAACAAGCAGAACCTGGACACCAGCTGCGCAGACATCAGTTCCCATCTCTACTCCGTCGGAGTTGAGAAAGTGGAGTGCGGAAACTGAAGACGCGCTACGAGTTTTACGCTTCCGTCCATGTGTCTGTGGCTGCCGTAGAAATCGACAAGCTTTCTGATTCCACAGTGTGGCCCAAATCTTTCGTTTTTAAACCTTTCCCAGGCTCCATTCGCGAACATCTGCTTCATTCATCTGAGGCTGTCGACGTTGGAAAAAGCAAGGATGAGTCACATTGATTTATTTTAACAAAATGTTCGCGACCTGCGTACAAAAGCAGATTTTTTCGGTTATCTTACCTTGTTCAATTACTCTATATTTTGTTTAACAGAATCAAAGCTATGTTCTATCTTCGGTTCCTCCGATTACTTCCTCTTTGTTTAGGTGCACCGTCGCGATCGACACTTTACCCAGCGGAGTAGGGCGGGAGGCGTAGTGTTGGTCGCAGTCGACAGGCGCTACCACTCAATGAGACGCGAAGACTTGGAAATATTTTCTGAGGGTGTATGGGCCGTGATTGTGTCAGCAAAGGAAGTACACGTTTTAATCGGCTTATATTACCTCCCTCCCCAGACTTCCCCAGATGAATTTCATATTTGCCTTGCTGGCATAAAGAATACAGTGAATGACTTCCATGCATGCAGGGTCTTAATCTTAGGGGATTTCAATGCTCTCGGAATCACCTAGCCGTCGTTTGACATTTTCACCTGAACAATTTACTGCAGGCAGAAAAGCACAAAGCTGTTAAACTTTTCTTCTTTGTTGAATCTCATACATCACAATTATGTTCTGAATCACAAATTTAATGCTCCAGATATATGTTTCTCAAACGTAGAATGGGTATGTATACCACGAGGTGCACTACCATCACTTCCTCAGGATAATATCCGCCCTGCATCTTATATAGTTCTTTCTCTTAGAAATTCCTCTCCTCCTGCTCATTCTGGTGGTTCTTCGGCACACATCTCATATAACCTTTCTGCAAATACTATGTCGGGAGGTATCAACGCTTCATGAGCTTTGCTTGGGCATAGAGCTTGGAATCTCCTGATGTAAATGATCAGGGCATTCTTTTCACGCTAATTATTCGGGCGTCTTCGGATACCTACATTCACTTGAGGACAGTTACAATATCTCGCATTCCTAGCTGATTTTCCAGTGAGCTAAAATCCCTAATGAAAAGAAAAACTTATTTTATCTGTAGTTTAAGAAAAGCGGCATCATAAAGTAAAGGGGTAAAAGACAAAAGTTTCAGAAAGCAATGTTAAACAGTCCTGAGTCGTGATCCCCAGGTGCGTTGTTAATCAGTGGAAACAGATCTTGTGAATAGTCAAAAAAGAAATCTGGAGGGCCATTATACCAAGTTCTATGAGGGATGTCGAGTCAAAAATTGTCCTAGATAATAATGAATGCCATCAGCAGGTTACTCGTACCTGAGTAACTTGGTGATCATTTTTCGTCAGTCTACAGGGGTAGTACGCAGTGTTTCTCATCTGCGCTGCTTCACTTAGATGTGTCTGGTAACTAGTTAAGATGCATTAACGCCGATAAAGGATGCGTACGGTCCTGTATTAAACCAAACATAGCAATATTATCATAGGGCCATACGGCATTCTGTCCACGATCCTTAAAATGTATCACGACATATTCACGCCGGTACTCTGCTCAGTATTTAACAACTCTTTAAGGTTGGGAACCTTTCCTGAATTGTTGAAGGTAGCTATTGTTGTTTTGATGTTAAAGTTTGGGGAAAAAGGTGATGTTTTGAACTTTAGACCGAATTATCCCCTCTTTATATTTTCCAAGCTTTTTGAAATTGTCGTTTATCAATTTCTGTCTTTCAGACTTCGTACATTAGCGATTTTCAAGCAGAATGGCTTTGTTAGTGGCAGATCAACAACTGCAAATATTGTTTGTTTTTATGTCTACCGCATCTTGTGTGAAATCTAAGAAAGGTCTGTTAGACGTTGTCTACTTTGACTTAGAGAAGGTCTTTGAAGTAGTGAATCACACGGTCATTTTATGCAAACCTTTCTCCTGCGGAGGATATGGCTCAGTACACGACTGTTTGAAAAGCTACTTGTAAGAGAGAGAGAGAGAGGCGTAAATCAGAGTCTAGAACGTGTACTCCTCGTTGTGCAAGGTACACTCTGGACTTCCTCGGGGATGTGTTTTAGGAACATTCTGTTCACAATACTTTTTAAACGACGTCTCTTTTGCTTCTTTTTTAAATTCTTTATTCCTGCATTATGCTGATGATATATAAATCTACGGAGAAATACCAAGTGCACATGAATGTGCTAAGATCCAGAAATATGCATATTTTTTTCTACCGATGGTGCTCTGACAAGGACTTTTTTTAACCCCTCCAAAACCAAGGTTAAATTCCACTCTCCCGAAAAATCACAATATCTCTTTTACATATAACTTTCATGGGAAGACTCTCCAGTAATTGTACTGAAAGATTTTGGAGTCATTGTTGATTCTGGCTTGCGTCTCTCTGATCATGTTGGTAAGCTCGTTAAGTGTTCATTGCGATATGTTGGGTGCTGCCTTTCGCTTAACCAGGAGGTTGAAAAACATGACTGGTTCTATATAGTTGTACTGTTCATTATCCAGGTCGCAGTTAGAATGTGCATTAGTTGTTTGAAATGAAATTTCTAAAACTCATTCCCTGGAAATATAACGAGTGCGAAAAAAGTCTGTTTCTATCTTTTAACATTGCTGCATTATGCAGAATGTCCACTGTTTAGCATATGGCGCAGGGTAAAAACGTGTTGGTTTGCCTAGCCTGCACCGGTGTCTGAAGAATGTGGACTTCCTGTTTTTGTTTAAAACGCTCCATGGCATCATCAATTCGCCAAGCCTGTTATCTGAAATGTGCCTTAGGGTTCCGCGAGTGCTTACTCGGGTTAAGTCATCTATTTTTGTTCCGAAACTTTCAGTTCGGCAATCCTAATTGTTAGAATGGCAGAGCGCTTGAACCATTACTCTTAAAACTTGATAGTTTCCACCCATTCTACACGACATCTGTCCTTTCTCTTAAAAATTAGCTCATCGAAGCTGAGCATTGCTGAATGGCTCTGGTATGCATGAATTTCGTCATCTACATGGCGTGCATTTTGGTGATGCATTCGTATGTCCTGCGGTCTTGAGTTCTATGTCTGCTGTTATAATTTTTCATTTCTTTATTTTAATTTTTACAACTGTATGCCCTACTACTATGATTGAAAAATAATATATTGTTTTTCCTCTCACAAAACACATAATGTCTCCATTTCTGATTCATATATAGTTTGAAGTGCTTCACTTTCTTGGATTTTGTGCATAACATTTTTATTCACCATTGTACCAGCGCCAAAACCTCAGGGTTTTTCCTGGATGCTGTACAATCAAGACATATTGATTGATTGATTATTGCTGATGCTACTGGTTTTGTTGGCAAATGTGATGCTGGTAGTAGAATTCGCTGTTGTTGGAGTAATAGAAAGCATTATTGTTTAATATTCTCGGAACTTGCCGTGATGTTTTATATGAATCTATCAGGTGAATGTTTACTTGTGCGGTAATCTCAAGTTGACAAGTGAATCAAGCGACAGCTCAAATAGAATGTTTCACGTACAGTATTTATTAGAGAATAGGTCGACCACTCTATGAAGAATGCTTGTGCGTGTATTCCTCCACAACACTCAAGAAAACCCGATAATTCCGGTTTCTGGAAGTCACCCAGCGAAAGACGAAGCACCGATAATGCCTGAACACGTAAACTAGTTTTGTGTGGATGACATTTTTCTCATTCTATACGGTATCTGTGTTTTGCCATTCGATGTTTCCTTCGCAATTCCTAATTAATGATTTGCCTCCGTGTGTTCTACGGGAAAGAAACGCAGGTCTTTTCATAAAAGGTCGACTCATTTTGGAATAAATATGGTAGATATCTGTAGAGAACATGTAGAAGTGCAAACTTATTACTGCAGTTTTCGTCGTGTATTTTTTTAGGTGACGACTGTGTTCCGAATAAAATTAAAAATATATATTTTATTCAAAATCTTGTTAACAACAAATATTGATTGTTAGTTATTTTTTGTATCCTTAAATGATCGTGACATAATGATTCCCTCTTACAGTACTGTGATGAGGATTATCGAAAAAGCCTCCAACATTGGGTTCTGGAGTGGAAGAAATATCAGAAAAACGCCGTAAACAATCTTTGCTCAAATCTGAAAGACAAACATGTCTGATCTCCTCGTCACGTGGCAAGTCCCAAGATACCAAAAATATACGGTCGTCTGCAACGGATATAAGTTCAATAACAATTTGGGATGCGCAATAAAGAACTGAGAAAATTTGCCACTTTGAAAATAATAGCATTTATAAAAAACAAATGAAAGTTAAATAAAACATATTTTCAGTATTTACCACTAGTTATAATATTTTTGTTTTAATCGAGCGATCGTCTAAGAGCTAACGTACAGGTCTCACACCAGATGAAGCTGCCTTTAGCGAAATGCCGAATATTGAAAATGTGGAATATAAAATGAATACTTTCCGCATATTTTTATGTCAATTTAATTGGCCGCCTTTGTGTGCACTGCAGATGTGTTTTTACTATATTCTTTTCACATTCTTGGTAAGCGTTTTACGAACTGCAAACACAAGTTTGGCACAAATTGAATACTATAGCTTATTACAAGCTACTCACCGATCATAAAACAAATATATTAAACTTGCGTGTAAAGCTCAAGAGAACTAATGTATCGCAGTAATTGAAATTAATTTAGTAGAAACCAGATATAAAAATAAAAATGGAAGATTTTAGAAAGCAAATCGCTTGCATTGAAACAAAAACCGAAGACTTCATGATTACAGAAATCATGAAAATTTCGTTAGTGCCGGCAGTTCGGACAGTCTTCCTGTTTTATTTTTGGACTAATATTGTGACGAATGACAGAAAATGAGGCAGAAGAAAACGTAGTGAAATAAATATTTAATGGAGCAGGACTGGCGCCAAAAACAAAAAAGGAGAACATACGTTGACTAAGCAGCAGCGAGCGTCGACGACGCAGCAGCATCGCCGGTACGTCGGCGTAGCACCTGGCTATCGCGAGAGTAAACCAGTGAATTAATCGGCAATACTGCGCTGGGCTCTTTGTCTACTAATCTTGTCATCTTGATTATTCCCCCGCAGGGGGCACGTGTGAAAACAGATGTTTGGTGAGTGGCATCACTACGGACCCCGAGCCATGCGGGTTCGTCCACGCACGTTTGACTGTGCGTGGCTTTCACGTGTCTGGAGAAAAGGGCATCCTGGTGGTTGAGCCAAGCCCGGCATAGGTTTGGACCCATCGGGGTCCCCTCGGTGAGGCCATACACCACTTCGGGCCCCGCTTCTCATAGACGGGAGTCCTGGTAAGGCCCGGCTAGGAGGAATCAATGTAGTCACCACTTCTACTATACCCTCCCTTTTTTCACACTTGCCTTCGCCTTCTTTTCACTCTGCTCCCCTCCCATTTCTCTACTTTTTTCAACTCATTTGGTGGCAACGGCTAACCTTGGGTGGCGAGAGACCCCTTGTACAGAACCACACTTGGCTATAGAGACTGGGCAGTGCTAATAAAGTGACGTGTTAAGAAAAACCTTTCTTATAAAGCGTTACATAATCCGAACACCCTTGCCTTTTTATGGCGTTCCTCTCTTCTAAACCCTGAGCCCAGCGACCCCCCGAAAGGGTTCGCCCCGCACCCCCTACTTTCCTAAGAGCCAAAGAACGCGACATCTTTTCACGTTTTCTTATAGTTCATGCGGCGAACGACACTCTACCGTTGCCGAAGATTTCACCCTTCCTTGCCTCTAAGGGGCTAGAGCACACAACTGGAAAGAATCACAAGCCAAAAAAAAATCTTGCTGGGGACCTCCTCGTTGAGGTAGGAAATAAAACTTAAAGCACAGCATTACTCGAGTTGACAAGCTTAGACGAACACCAAGTTTCTGTCACCACGCACCGCACTTTAAATACTGTCTGCGACGTTATCTCTGAGGATGACCTCCTTCAGTGTACTGTAGAGGAAATCCTTAAAATTCTGCGTCCGTTTGCTCTTGTAGCCGTGCAGCGAGTCACTCTACGATGAGACCGACAGGACATATCAACCTAACACCTAGTCCTGACTTTTGAACTCCATATCTTCCTTCCACCGTAAAGGGAGGGCATCTGAACTGCCGAGTTCGTTCTTTCGTTCCAAGTGCGGCGCTTTCGTGGCCAGCGTTTTGGGCATGGTTCCCGAAACTGCCGCGACAAAAAAACCTGCGCAAACTGTAGTGCCACTAACGACGTCGCTGACATATGCAAAAATGAACATAAATGCATAAACTGTGGCGGACCACACCCCGCGTTTCCACGGAAAGTGTTCGAAATGGAAGGAAGGGAAAGAAATAATTACATTTCAGGTCAAACACAATCTAAGCTACCAAGAAGCGAGAAAAGAACTTGCTTTTTAGGGAAGGGTTTCATATGCCCGGGCAGTGCGAAGGGGACCCCCACTGTCTATGGTATCCCTGGAGACGCAGTCTTCCCCGGAAGACCTTTCTTCTGCGCAAGAGTCCTTTTACGAATTTACAAAGACGGTGGGCAACCCACCGCCTTCGTGCTCCAATGAGGATGTTGTGGCGTCTATGGAGCGTACTGCACCCTCCAAGGAGCCAGATGTGCCATCACCGGCACCAGCTGGCCCGTCTTGCCGTGGTTGGGGGCTACCTCACCGTGCCTCTGGCAGCACTTCAAAGCCTGGGTGGTCAGATACACCTCTGCCAACCAAAGGACACAAGGTCTCATGGGATGAGAAAATGAATGAGAGCATCCCGCTCTCCGATGAGGACCTTCCTCTCTCTAGACAGTCTGTCGCCTCTGCCTCTTGCGAAAATGCTCGATGGCCTAAGGATACTCCAAAGAAGAAAACTAGCCCATGAATTGTTGCATCGAAAGACACATAAACTATATTGACTTTTTTGTATTACTAACTTATTGAAGCGTTTCCTTTATCAAAGATAAATGTCTTTCTTCCTTCAGTGGAACGACAGAGGCCTCCTGCCTAACTACGACGATGTGAGCTATTTTTAGAGGATCACCAGCCCATTGCATGTTGCTTACAGGAAACGCGCATAAGCACATACACTAATGTTTTTAAACATTTCCAGGTGTTTTGTAAGATCCGTACACATGCAGCTCGCGCAGCTGGAGGTGTTGCGGTAGTTGTGCAACGTTCAGTTACTTGTAACGAGGTGGTCCTGCATACTTCACTGGAGGCAGTGGCTTCACGCATATTGTTAGGTCGAATATTTACATTATTTTTATATTACGCACCTACCACTTTTCAGTTACATGCGAAGGGGCTAGAATTTCTTGTTAATCAACCTCTTTCTTTATTTTTACTTTTTGGAGGTTTTGATACACACAATCCGGTGTGGGGTAGTGAGAGGCGGGATTTCAGAGGGGCCCTTGTCGAATTTTTTGGCTTTCTACGGGATTGTGCCAGCTAAACACAAATTAATCTACATATTTCAACTCAGCAACTCACACCTTTATTTCAACTGACCTATCGATTTGTCATCCGTCAATGTTCCCAGTGCTTGCATGGAAGGTCATCCCGATTCCTCACGTAAGTGGCCAATTTCCCATCATTTTAAAATTTGGCCATTTTCCAATGACAGTCCTAACGCGCTTTCCTTCTTAAAAATTCGAGAACGCCAACTGATTAACCTTCATATAATCATCTCTTTTGGCGTGCTCATCAGTTGACGATCTTGATATCAACAAATCACTGAACATATCAGTCAGCGCATGTTATAGGCTGGCATTCTCTCCATCTCCTTGACGTCCTCGCATCTGCCCAGGAGACCTAAGCCTTGGTGGAACGAAGATTGCTGTTTAGCCAAGAAAGAAGAAAATCGAGCATGGGGTGTTTTTAGGCGCTACCCTACAACACACAATCTTATTGAATTAAAAAAAGAAACAGTTCAAGCGATGTAAATTCAAAGGCAAGCGAAGAAAAAAAAAGTTTTAGAAGGTACGCTTCCTCAACTAACAGCATTCCATTTGCGAGGGAAGTCTGGGATCGCGTACATAAATTTGACGGCTCTTACCGGGCATTCACTGTCCTACTCTTGAGTCGAAATGGAGTATGTCCTGTAAGTCTTGAGGAGCAAGTTAACATTCTCGGTGAGCATTTCGAGTATGTCTCCAGTTCCCAACATTACACTCAAACGTTTCAGCGACACAAGACAAATACAAAAAAAGCTGTTATCACATCAGGTGGCTTGCACGAACCCTATAATACTCTATTTCCATTATGCCAACTTCAAGTAGCACCTTTTTGTTCCAAACAGACGTCCCCTGTACCAGATGGTATTCACTTTAAAATGCTCGAACACCTACATCCATCCACTCTGGAGATTATTTTATACCTGTTTAATAAAGCTTGGCTTGAGGGCCACTTTCCATCCTCTTGGAAGATCGCTGTCGTTGTGCCAGTGCTGAAGCCCGGCAAAAATGCCTCTTGTACATTTCGCTTTATACCTATAGCTCTAGCTAGCTGTCTTTCTAAGATACTAGAAAGGATAATTAACAAGAGACTCATGTTTATTCTAGAACGTAGCAGCCGCATTGATAAGTTCCAATGTGGCTTTCCTTCAGCACAGACCATTCTCGATCATCTCGTCCTTTTTGAGACTTCCGTACGTGAGGCGTTTGTCAACAGGCAACAGTGCCTCTCCATCTTCTTTGATTTGAAGAAGGTATACGACGCTTTCTGGCGTTACTGCACACTGCAAGATTTATTCGGTCTTGGTTTCCGTGGCCCAGTGTTGAATGCTCTACAGAGTTATCTGGAGCGCCACACGTTCCACATGAGGCTGGGGAAAACTCTCCATAAGGAGTTATTACAGGAATATTGAGTCTCTCAGGAAGGTGTACTCGGTGTCACTCCTTTTATCGTCAACCTTAATTCCACTGACCATGCAATTCCTCCTAGAGTGCAATATTTTTCACGTGTTGATGACCTCCATATCTCCTTTTCATGTTGTAATTCCCCCATTTCTGAACGTCGCGTCCAACTTGCGTTTAATATTTTGGTCAGATAGGCCGATACAAATGCTTTTAAATTTTTTCCCTAAAACAAGTGCTTGTGTTCGTTTTTCTTGTCGACGTGGTGTTCTTTAGTTGTCCTCTTTGAATAGGTATGGTTCTCTG